GAAGTCCATGAGTCATAAAAAAGCCAAGGTTGCCTACCCCTGGGCTAGAAAAATAGTATTTCTCAACAGATAAAATTCAAAACCAAACAAAACTAGCAGGCAATTAAACAGATTCCCAACTCTCTTGAAAATTGCCTTCAAGAGAATTCATCAATAGTTACACATCAAATCAATGGCAGGTATTTATACTGGCTTGAATAATCCATTAGAAAAATAATTTTAAAAACCATAAAAATAAAAATTCAGTGAAAAGGTTAAAAAAAAAACCTAGCTAATCAGATCTTTGTTTCAATATGAAGTGATGAACTCCACTTGAGCTGCTCAGCTCCTCTTTAATGGCCACTCAAAAAGATGTTGATTTCAGGCTTTTAATTTTGTAATATTTTTTTTAATTTTGTTTCATTTTCATTGACAAATGCAAACTACCACACATGTTGAAAAGAAATATAATTTTTAATTTAAAGAACATATGTTTTGTGTTTTAAATTACTATGTGATGATGATGATATTCCTCTATTTCTTGAATTGCTTGAAAATGTGACACCTATTTCATTGTTGTGTTTTACATACAGCATACTTCACATACTGTACAATGAACAGGAATTTCTTTTTTATTGTAATAGAAAAAGCACATTTTTACCGGGCAGATCAAAAATATAAAAATATTTTTTTTGTCTCCTCCTCAAACACACACACATATATAACCTTAAAATAAAATAATTTAATTAGGCAGAACAGCATCTAAAAATTTAACTGTCAGATTCTTAACATGGGAAAGTAATAAATCTATATGCAAGAGGTGATTCGCAAGGAAAATATGTTATATTGACTCACCAATAGTCTGATATAATTGTGATCTTTACTCTTCGGATGGATGCACTATCCACTTTGAATGGGTCTTTTCAGAAGGAAGTTCCTGGGAGATAATGGGCTTATTCTAAAAGAAGCCTGATTTTTTTCATGCTCAAGATAAGCCATTCTGGAATGCTAATGGCCTTGGGAGTAGAAAACTGAGGAGCTCTACAGTTAAGTGACTGTTTAAAGTTATGGTGGTGCTGTATAATAGTTTTGTCTGGTCCCCAAAGTTATGGCGGCAACATATCATGGCCACTTGATCAAAATTCAGGTGTTTGGCAGCCCACCCACATTTAGGATTTCAGGGATGTTTCAATTACCTCCATCTGCCTATCTCCTCCAAACCCCCCCCCCCATCTTGGCCCTTTTGGCCACTCTGCATTCCACTGACTCAGCTTGCCCTCACTCCTTCAACTGATCTTCACTGTCTTCTCCCCCTGTGGGTGACAAGGCGTGCTGGCCTGGCCCTTCTTCCCTGGGCTCTATGTAGCCTTATCCAAATCATCAGAAAGGTAAAGTCATCCTGGACCTATTTCTTTGATGTTTCTTTTATACATCTTTGAATACATTGGCTTGCAGGAAGCTTGCTATCATTCAGTTTTCAGAAATACATCAGGAATATGGTCTTGTAATATTTAATAAGAAAAAATATAAAATGTCTACATTATTAGGAGAATCTCTTCAACTGACATTGTGCCACTAAGCAACAAACTGCTATCATCCCAATAAAGCTGGCTCAGAAACCTGCAAATTTTGCCAAGCATACAGAAATCCAGTATAGAGACAATTAATTAGGATGTCATCTTCACATTTTACTGGGAATATTGATTTTTCAGAAAAGAAAGCTTTATCTATTAAAAAGAAATAGTGAGGAATATTATTGAACAACTGCCCCTAAAAGAATGAGAAGGCAGAGGAAAAATGCCTACTGATGTTTCAATATATAGAATATATTTGACAGACAAAGAGGGGATGTTTGTATAGCGTACTGATATTATACATCTTCAAGATCTGGTATGATGTAACAATTTGAAGATTATATAAATATAGTATTAATTAAAAAGAACAATGTGTATAGTAACCAAAGAATAAAAGATGCAGTAGTCTTCAATTTAGGACCTTAGAAAAGTTTCCATTAAAAAAAACTACACAAATGCTTAGGTTGCATATTTTTTTTTTTTTGAAATAACAAGGTCATTATATAAATAGCAAGCATAACAAATGGATGCAATTTGTCACATACTGATAACAAATTCAGCAAAAATGAATGCTTGGATACACTTGGACTGAGAAGTGAATCAGAATTATATATAAGAGAAAGAAAAAAATCTTGGGAGGAAAATGAGAGAAAGTATTGAGTCCTTATAATATGAAGGAAGAAGTAAGGGAAAGAATACTCTACTGCTTCAAAAAAAACCAGGATTCATTGCCATTTAATTTTTTTTATAGAAAAGCAAGTCACAGAAAAGGGGATTTTTAATCTCAGCCTTCTCTTCCACATGTTCCAGGCAAGGGCTATTTATTTATTGACCATCTTTATCACTGCAAAATATAAACAAAAAAGCTTAAGAATGTTTTGTGCGATTTTTTTCCCACACCTTCGTTGTCATACACGACTGACTCCTAGTCCAAAACCCCAATACTTGAATGTCATTTTATTCTATTCGAAATGCATTGCACCATGAAATGCGGCTCATTTTTGGTGCTGACCGACAACTATCGCTTTAGCCCAGCGTTTTTCAACCTTGGTAACTTTAAGAAGTCCCAAAATATTTAGGGCGAATTCCAGGAGTTGAAGTCCACAGTTCTTAAAACTGCCAAGATTGAAAAATACTGAAGTAGAAGCGCTCTTGGCGTCCAAAAACCGAGGACACCGGCGCAGAATCCTTCTTCGCGATCCCGGACCCTGCTTCGCGGCAGCAAAGAGGGAGCTTCTCCGGCGACGGATTCCTCCCGCCTCTCTTCCCTTCCTCTTTCCGAGCCCAGAAATAGCCTCCCCCCCCCCAACGCCGGGGAGAAAGTTGCCATTCGGTGTAACATTTGTATCGCAACGTTCAGCTCGTTATGTATAGACGGGAATCACTGCGGCGATTCAAGATACTTCTGGCGCTACGGAAATGGCGTTACAGAAAGGGCGGAATCCGTCGCAATCATAGAGATAAATATAGAGCGATGCTTTCCTGTCCTGGTTGGTTTAAAAGCGAAGGCTTCTTTTTTCCACAAGGGCACCACATGGTTTTGGAAAAGGAAAGAAAGGGCGCACGCAGCTGGGCTTTAGGCTGGGATATGATTACCCAGGAGGTATTGCAGGGGGAAATGTAAAAGCGAGATGGCCTGGGAAGCAATTACTTTTAAAGTTGATTCCCAAAGGTGCTTTTTCAAAAGGCAACTGGACTTTGTTTTTCCTTGAAACGTTTCCTTCTCATCCAAGAAGCATCTTCAGTTCAGTTCAACTGAAGAAACTTCTTGGATGAGAAGCAAAACATCTTCAAGGAAAAATAAAGTCCAGTTGCCTTTTGAAAAAGTACCTTTGGGATAACCAAAGGTCAACTACATGATTGAGAATGTCTATAGCAGTGATGGCAAACCTTTTAGAGACCGAGTGCCCAAAACCTGGTCCTGCCTCAGCTCCACCCCCTGCCCTGCCCCTGCTCTGCCCCCATCCACCACCCTGCCTGCCCACAGGACCACTCACTGCCTCCAGGGCCTGCTGCAGATTGCCCAAGCAGCCCAGCAGCGCTATGGTGGCCACACCCTCTGTCATGCCCTGCAGCAACAACTGCATGATGGGGAGTGAGGGAGAGTCTTGGCTATGCTGCCTGGTTGCCATGTCCTTGGCTGCACTGCTCCATGTGGGCCATGCTTGAGGGTGACTCTCTTTCAGGGGAGCTGCTGGAGAGGAGGGGGTCACAGGGGAGGCAAGGCTGGGACAACGGCACGTGTGCTCACAGAGAGGGCTCCGAGTGCCGCCTCTGGCACCTGTGCCATAAGTTTGACACCACTGCTCTATAGAGATAAAGCTGATTCCATGAACAATGAAGTATGTGAAGAGATAAACAGGAACAATGGCAAGGAATGTGAATTATTTCCTAAAGCAAAAGGTGCCAAAAATGAAGCTCAAGCTATCTCTCGGTAGACTACTGCAATTCTCGTTATATGGGACTGTTCTTGAAAGTGACTCAGAAGTTATTGCAAGCTCAATACAGATGTCCATTTCCTTTTCTTTGGGAAAGCATTTGGGGAAGAAGAACTCCTTGCAGTATTTATTTTAACAGTGTTTTGTTTAAAATGGTAAATTGTTTTGTCTTGATTTTGACTTGCCTTTAGTTTCATACACTGTATAAGCCATCTAGGCAGACAGAAGTACCAGTAACTAAATAAGTAGTTTTTTGTTAATCCCTTAAAGCCCATACAGAAAAGGAGAAAAGCCATCTCTTAAACAAAACCAATGTGATTCACCAATCACCCATAATTAGAGATGGTCAATGCTATTAGAGAAAAACCTGCATAGAAACAAGTTACTCTCAAAGAGGTGTATCTTATTACATCAATATATCTCTTCCAGTAGAGTTCCAATATATTGGCTGCAAAATTCCATAGAACCATTTATATATTTTTTTTCTGTATCACTTTGTTGCATCTAGATATCATCTTGGTTTTTACAACTCAAGTATGATAGCCCTTGTTCCAGCCTTGATGCATCACAAGGTTGTTTGTTTTTGTTTTGAAATCTAAAACTGGGCCACTCTTGAACAAGTTGATGATTAAGCAAAGGAATGATTATGATACACGAAACGTTCCAAAGTGTACATGCAACATTGCATTGCAAAGTGATTGGGGGTCTGAGAAGTAAATACAATAATAAAAGAATGAATACATCACAGAACAATTTTAAATGTGAAATCAGTTAAGATATCTTCAAAGATACCTTTGGAAGATTTTTTTAACCCAAAAGGCATAACAATATTTGTTCATAATAATACTAATAATTTATAGATTAAGAGTAAATTAAGACTACTAGATTTAGACTGAAAAAGAGCAACAAACGCAGCAAGGAGGGAAAAAAAGTCTGGAAAGGAACCTGGAAGTCCTTGATACGGCCGATAGAGGCATCTCTCTTCCGAACAGTCCCTACAACCGACATTATGACGTAGGAGGAGGGGGCGGAGAAAGAACAGCGGGTCAAGGGTAAGAAGGGGCGTGGTGGCGGTAACCACGGTAGCCTCGGCTTTTTTTCTCAATTGGGAAGGAAGTAAAGCACAATGCGGACACGCTATGGCGACCGCCGGGGAAGCAGGTAAGAGCCTTTCTTCCTGGTCGAGAGTGGGGCAGGGTTTTTTTCTTCCCCTGGCGGGTGACGGGGACCGCTCCCGCCCTGAGCGCTGCTTACTTTGAAGGGCGCCAATGAAGCGAGGGGCGGATCCCGGGCACGAGGTTGTCAGGTGTGTGGATTGGGGTGGAACGTTAGGTAAAAGGTGAATGGCGCGCGCGTTCTACCCTAGCTGTCCCCCGCCCCCCGCCCGGGCAAAGGCGCGCGCTCCTGAGCGCTGCAGCTGCTGCGAGTTTTTACTGTCTTCCCTTGCGGAGTCGCTGGGCGCAGCTGAGGAGAAAATCCGAAGGTGCTTTTGCGTTCATGTGTTTTCTTCCTCTCCAAAGCACAGAATAAAACTTCTGCCTTGAATGCATTGACTCCGAGGAGATAGTTAGGAGTGCCACCCCTCAGTTCCGCTCGGTTCGCACCGTGATAAGCCTTCCGGAGGAGTGAAAGAGATTGCCGGGGTCCTGGAGGTTGAATCGCTGCTGCTTCGAAAAAGCAATAAGAGGGACGGCTGCAAGTTTTATTACGGTCGGGTAGTGACACGGGTAGCATTGATTATTTGAGATTCCGGGTCATTTTGCAACGTTTCTTTTTCCGAGCACGCTGCAGTTCAACCTGCGCTTAACAAATCTTAATAGCTGTATTTTCCTAACATAGGAACCTGAAATATATATGAAGCAGATTATGGTTTAACATAGGAAGTTGAAGGAAGCGACATTTTTTTTTTAAAAAAAAGACACCTTATAAAGGCTTGCTGCATGCATCATGCTAAAATGTAAAACAAAAAAGCCTTGATTTTCAGATGGTGGTTTCTGAATCTTGATGTATGATTTAGTATGTTGGGTGAACTCTGTGTGCTTCATAATTTTCCTCCGTTTTGCAGTGTTAACTTCAGCACATTTAAAAGTGCTATGCTTTGATCTTTGTATCACTCAGGGTAAAAGTGCACATTTGGCATCTTCAGGGTATACCCCAAGCATTTCATTCTTGGTTTCTTTTTCCTCTTTTGCACTTTCTTATTTTTCTTTATTTTTTTCTGTAAAACTTAAAGAATAAACAGAAAATATTGATACTTAAATTACTGCACATTACTAATTACTAATTAATGCTGCACATTAATTAGTAGCTAAATTTTTAAAGAGGCTTAAGAAGAAATAAGCTAAAGGAGTTTACTAAAGTTGAAATTCTATACACATTGATTTTATTTGTGCTAGCATGATATAATAAAATGGTGTGATAATGAGTTTTAAGTCACGTTGTTGTTGTTAATTGCGAGGTCGTGTCCGACCCATCGTGACTCCATGGACAATGTTCCTCCAGGTCTTCCTGTCCTCTACCATCTTCTGGAGTCCATTTAAGTTTACACCTACTGCTTCAGTGACTCCATCCAGCCATCTCATTCTCTGTCGTCCCATTCTTCTATTGCCCTCAATCTTTCCCAGCATTAGGCCCTTCTCCAATGAGTCCTTCCTTCCCCTTTGGTGGCCAAAGTATTTGAGTTTCAACTTCAGGATCTGGCCTTTTAAAGAGCAGTCGGGGTTGATCTCTTCTAGGACTGACCGGTTTGAACGCCTTGCAGTCCAAGGGACTCGTAGGAGTCTTCACCACCATAGTTCAAAGGCCTCAATTCTTTGGCGCTCAGCCTTTCTTATGGTCCAACTTTCACAGCCATACATTGCTACTGGGAAAACCATGGCCTGGACTATACGCACTTTTGTTGGCAGGGGTCTCTGCTTTTTAGGATGCTGTCTAGATTTGCCATAGCTTTCCTCCCCAGGAGCAAGCGTCTTTTAATTTCTTAGCTGCAGTCCCCATCTGAGGTGATCTTGGAGCCCAGAAAAATAGAATCTGTCACTACCTCCATTTCTTCCCCATCTATTTGCCAGGAATTGAGAGGGCCGGATGCCCTGATTTTGGTTTTCTTAATGTTGAGTTTCAAGACAACTTTTGCACTCTCCTTCTTCACCCGCATCAAGAGGCTCTTTAGTTCCTCTTCACTTTCTGCCATTAGAGTGGTATCATCTGCATATCTGAGGTTGTTGATATTTCTCCCGGCAATCTTAATTCCAACTTTTGATTCATCTAGCCCTGCCTTTCTCATGATGTGCTCTGCATATAAGTTAAATAGGAAGGGCGACAGTATACAGCCTTGCCGGACTCCTTTTCCAATTTTGAACCAATCAGTGGTTCCGTGTTCGGTTCTCACTGTTGCTTCTTGACCCGCATATAGGTTTCTCAAGAGACAAATGAGATGGTCTGGTACTCCCATCTCTTTAAGAACTTGCCACAATTTGTTGTGATCCACGCAATCAAAGGCTTTTGCATAGTCAATGAAGCAGAAGTAGATGTTTTTCTGGAACTCCCTAGCTTTCTCCATGATCCAGCGTATGTTGGCAATTTGATCTCTAGTTCCTCTGCCTCTTCGAAATCCTGCCTATACTTCTGGTAGTTCCCGATCCACATACTGCTGGAGTCTAGCTTGTAGGATTTTAAGCATAACTTTACTAGCATATGAAATGAGTGCAATGGTGCGATAGTTTGAACATTCTTTGGCATTGCCTTTCTTTGGAATTGGAATGTAAACTGACCTTTTCCAATCCTGTGGCCACTGTTGAGTTTTCCAAATTTGCTGGCAAATTGAGTGTAGCACTTTTACTGCATCGTCTTTTAAGATTTTGAATGGCTCAGCTGGGATACTGTCACCTCCACTAGCTTTGTTGTTGCTCAGATTTTCTAAGGCCCATTTCACTTCACATTCTAGGATGTCTGATTCGAGGTCAGTGACCATCTCATTGTGGTTATCTGGGACGTTAAGCTCATTCTTGTATAGTTCTTCTGTGTAGTTTTGCCATCTCTTCTTAATCTCTTCTGCCTCTGTTAGGTCACTGCCATTTTGGTCCTTTATCATGCCCATCTTTGCATGAAACGTTCCCTTCATATCTCCAATTTTCTTGAAGAGATCTCTGGTCCTCCCTATTCTGTTGTTTTCTTCTATTTCTTTACACTGTTCATTTAAGAAGGCATTCTTATCTCTTCTAGCTATTCTCTGGAATTCTGTATTCAATTGGGTGTATCTTTCTCTTTGCCTTTTGCTTCCCTTCTTTCCTCAGCTATTTGCAAAGCTTCCTCAGACAGCCATTTTGCTTTCTTGCATTTCTTTTTCTTTGGGATGGTTTTAGTTGCTACCTCTTGTACAATGTTGCGAACTTCCATCCATAGTTCTTCAGGCACTCTGTCTATCAGGTCTAATTCCTTAAATCTATTTGTCACCTCTACTGTATATTCATCAGGAATATGATTTAGTTCATAGCTGAGTGGCCTAGTGCTTTCCCTACTTTTTTCAATTTAAGTCTAAATTTTGCAACGAGAAGCTCATGATCTGAGCCACAGTCAGCTCCTGGTCTTGTTTTTACTGACTGTATAGAGCTTCTCCATTTTGGCTGCAGAACATATAGTCAATCTGATTTCTATGTTGACCGTCTGGTGATGTCCATGTGTAGAGCCGTCTCTTGGGTTGTTGGAAAAGAGTGTTTGTTATGACCAATATTCTCTTGACAAAATTCTATCAGCCTGTGCCCTGCTTCATTTTGTACTCCAAGGCCAAATTTGCCTGTTATTCTGGTTATCTTTTGGCTTCCTACCTTAGCATTCCAATCCCCCATTTTAGGTAACATAGTGCTGTATAAATGAACTGTGTAACTATAGTTGAAGTAGACTTGAAGATACACCATTGATAGTTTGGGAGTGTTAAAGGGAATCTTTATAACATTTCTTTGTAATATTAGTATCCCCAACATAGTTCTCTTGAAGTTTGACTGTGCTAATAGAAAAAGTGTAAGTTGCTTTTGTTATGTTTTGTTTAGTTTTTTTTGTTTGTTTTTGTGATGTGACACTGTTCACTAGTTGGTTTAAGATAACATAATTTGGTTATTACTTTACTTTTTAATTTCAAATACATAAGTTACAGTACTGTTACCTGTCTTGTTCTACTGTGGTATGTTTTCTGTGATGTTAAATGAAAAACAATCGTAACTGTTCCAAACAGAATTTATATCTTGGTATGGTAACTCCTGATATTATCCTATAATGAAATAGTTCTTTAAGTACGGCTCTATAATGGCATACATATTGCATGCTTTTTGTAAAAAAAAAAATGCAGGAAAATACAAAAAAAATCCCAAGTACCAAAAATATACAAAAAATTCCACAGTTTATTCTACCTCTTCAATAGTAGATAACCATAATCTTTTAAATAAACAATTTGTTTTGAATAGTTGGGGGTTAACCAAAATGAATAACTAAACTACATATATTCAGGATATGCATAGTGTATGCCTCTGTCAGCTGACTTGTATATCTACTATTTTAAACATAACTAAATGAATTGAACCAGTGGACTTTCAGGCTTACTAGTTTTTCATAAAGACTACAAGCAATGAAAATACTTGTGTTGCTTCAAAAGTACTGTATATAACAAAGGACATCAATAAACATCAAGTGCTCATTTTGGGGTATGTTTTTAGTAGCTTAAAATAATCTCACAGGTAATAGATAAATTATGGAAAGGGCAAAAAGAGAAAGGAGAGAAGTTAATAATGATTTAACACCTCCAGCAGTACGTTGGAATTTATTTATATTTGATTATTTCCTCTGTCTTAGGAAATTATCTGATGAAAAGCAGTGCCAAATATATAACTGAAAGATGAACATACTGTTTTGCATCTAAGGAGCTAAGCCAGTATGCTATCTCATGGGTTGTTCTTTCTATCTTTTTCAGCTTTCCTTTTAGGTTCCTGGTAAGAAAAAATATGCAACAGTATTATTTATGTTTTTGAAATCATAAATTTTCAGTATACTTCCTTAAAGATGAGATAATTAATACTCCAGTCCATTACTCAGAGTTTTGAGGTGTTTGAGGCTGAGGAGAAGTGTTGTAATGATGTTGGGTTTTAGGTGCTCTCTGAATCTTGCTTTTTTAA